TCAACATAAATCCAGCCACACTGAACCTATTAGAAGATAAAGTGGGAAATACCCTTGAATTAATTGGTAAAGGAGACTGCTTCCTGAACATTACACCATTAGCAGACACTGAGATCAACAATTGATAAATGGGACCTCCTGAAACTGAGAAGCTTCTGTAAGACAAAGGACACAGTCGGCAAGACAAAACAGCCTGTCAGAATGGCCAATATCAAAAACACCAATGACAGTTTATGCTGGAGAGCATATGGAGAAAGGGGAACCCTTCTCCACTGCTGGTGGGAGTGCCAACTTGTACAGCCAGTTTGGAAATCAGTATGGCGACTCTTCAATAAAATTGGAATCAGTCTACCACAAGATCCAGCTATTCCACTCTTAGGCATATACCCAAAATAAGCACATTCATACAACAAGGACATCTGTTCAACAATGTTCATAGCATCACTATTTGTAATAGCCCGAAACTGGAAGCAGCCTAGATGCTCCTCAACCGAAAAATGGATAGAGAAAATGTGGTACATTTACACAATGGAGTATTACTCAGCGTGAATAAAGCAATGGAATCTTGAAATTTGCAGGAAAATGGATGGAACTAGAAGAAACCATTCTGAGCGAGGTAACCCAATCACAACAAAGACAAACATGGTAGGTACTCACTCATATGTGGATTTTAGACATAGAGTAAAGGATTACCAGCCTACAATCCACACTGCCAGAGAAGCTAGTAAACAAGGAGGACCCTAAGAGAGAGAGATATAGGGTCCCCTGTTGAAGGGGAAAGGGTCAAGATCCCCTGAGCAGATTGAGAACATGAGAAGAGGTGGGAGGGAGCTATGAGAATGAGAAGGGAAGAAGAAGAAGGATGCAGAGGTCATGGAGGAAGCAGAAAGTTTGAGTCAGGGGAAGAATAGAAGAAAGGATATGTGATAGGTAGGGTTTAGTTGGGGGGTTGGTAGGGAAGGACGGGAGGGAGAATGGAACTAGGACTTTCATGTAAAACAATCTTGTTTCTAATTCAAATAAAAATGATTTAAAAAATCAAAAGAATAAATAAAATTAACCCATATTTATTATCTATGCTTTGCTACATGGCTTGGCACCTTTTCTCAGTATGGCATGTCCATCTTGCTTCTCTGTGCATCTGCTCAAGACTTCAGACTCTGCCTTTCCTCTTCTTAACTTGCTGTGTGTTTCAGGCTGTCTCACCCAATCTCTCCCTGCCCAGCTACCGGCCAATCAGCGTTTTATTAACAATGAGAGCAATGCATCTTTACAGAGTACAAAGATTGTTCCATAGCGCCTTGTGATCACCAATGGTGACCTGCCTGCAAAGACAGGGTGACCTGCCCTGTTGTGATATTGGCACCAAAGTTGTGGGAGCAACCAATAACTCTCCAGTTGTATTTAAGGCCTACTCTATGAGATAGAACTCTTGCCTGATACCACTCAGGTGGCCAAGAATGTCATGCTGAATAGGTCAGGGACCTAGGAGAAACAAAATTTTGTTCTGTTAATGGAATATAGCAATAAAATGACTTCTAATGGCATCTGGTATACTCATCGGTCAATGCCTTGCTTAGCCATCATCAGAAGAAGTGTCTTCCTGCAGCATGTGGAAACAAATACAGAGATCTACAGCTGGACATTTGGCAGAGAGTGAGAGACCTCTGAATTCTCAATTCTAAATGGGTCGTTTTCAACAAGTCCCTACCTTCAGGACTCAGGGAATTCTTCAGAAGAGGAGGCAGAACGATTGTAAAAACCAGAGAAGATGAAAGACATCAGGGAAACAAGGCCTTCTAGACCCAACAGGACTTACATACATGTGAAAGTCACAGAAACCATGCAGCAGTTACAGGGCCTACACAGGCCTAAGCCAGATGGAGTTTTGGTGCTGAGAATCGAAGTAGACAGAAACCTCCCTCCGTAAACCGGACACTATGTCCAGTTGATAATAGACCACAAAGGAAATACTGTTTTTTGGAGTCTTACTGTGTATACAAGCCACACTGAAAGGCAACCCTATGTCCTCCATATGGACAACACAAAATGAGTTCAATTGTATTTTTTAACTTTACAGATCTTCTGCTTACATATTATGATTTCCCATTTTGTTTTTGTTTGTACAAATGTGTGATTAAATAAGCCAAAGAAGAAATCTTGGTGCTAGGTGAGAATCTTGTGCTGTCTATGGTATTTAAAGACAGAAGAGACAGTAGCCAAGTTTAGAAGGTGGCATCATTATCCCTATAAGATTGTCAACCCCATACCTGCTTTGGATTGTCACTGCTCTGTGGACTTAACAGGGTTTTAGCTTTTGGTTCCTAATCAGTTAACAACCATGCCATAACATCTTGAAATATGCAGGCAGATAGACAGAACTGGAAAAACCACCCTGAGTGAGGTAACACAGACCAGAAAGACAAATGTGGTATGTACTCACTCATAAGTGGATATTAGCCACAAAGCAAAGGATAATCAATCAGCCTACAGTCTACAACCCCAGAGAAGCTAGGTAACAAAGATGACATACATGGATCTGCCTTGGCAGGGGAAATAGACATGACCTCCTGAAACCTTCATCCAGTAATTGATGGAAGCTGATGCAGAGATTCACAACTACCCAAGCTCCCAGAGTCCAGTTGAAGAGAGGGAGGAACAATAATATGAGCAAAGGGGTCAAGACCATGAGGGGGAAACCTGCAGAAACAGCTGACCTGAACTAGTAGGGGTTCATTGACTTAGGAGTGACAGCATGGGAACCTGCATAGTATTGAACTGGGCCTCCTGAATACAGGTGACAGTGGGTGGCTTGAACAGTTTTAGGGCTACTGGTAGTGGGGCCAGGAGATATCCCTAATGACTGAGTCTCTTTTTGGAGTCCATTTCCTATAGAGAGATAACTTGCTCAGCCTAGACACCAGGGAGTGGGGCTGGTCCTGCTTCGATGTGGTGGTGATGGGACAGAATTCATTGACTCCCTATGGGAGGCCTTACCCTCTCTGAGGAGCAGATGGGAAGGTGGGATGAGGGAAAGGTGGGAGAACTGGGATTAGTATGTAAAAAATAAAACTAAAATGAACTATAAAAAGAACCATGTCATAAGCCCCCAAAACTTATTCCTTTTACGTTTATTTATTTATTTCTTTAGTGTGTGTGTGTGTGTGTGTGTGTGTGTGTGTGCGCGCGCGTGCATGTGAGCATGTGTGCACATGCATGCTGTGGCACATATGACTGGAGTCAGCTCTCTCACTCTACCATATAGGTCCCAAGGATTGAATTCTGTTGTCAGGCTCGGTGGCAAGTACACTTTACTGTCTGAATCTTGCCACATTTCAAACCTGTCTTCACTAGCTTCCTCTTTTCTGGAAAATTGAGATGGACAATATGGGAAGTGTCAAGAAGGGAAAGAAGCCAAGGATGAAGGAGAGAAGACTGTGGATATGGAAGGGAGCTGTGGATATGGAGGAAGAAGGAAAAACAATTAACTATGGAAGGGAATGGTAGTGCTCCACAGCTCAAGCTTTGGAAGGCAAATGTTGGGAGGAATCCAATTATTTTTGTCTTTCTTTTGCTGTGAGCTGACAATTTGTCCCACTGTGTAAACAGAAAGGTGGAAACGTAAGACTGGGAATAACTATACAGATCTAGTGTTGTTCTAAATCTTTATGAGATACAGACCCTGGAAGTTATGGCTAAAATTCTTTGCCTTGAGGAGACATAAACAATGTCTCCTCCCTTCCCCAAGGTTCCAATGACACACCAAGACAAGGTACTACCAAAGTTCATCCTGCCATATCAATGATCTTATTGGCCTTCCTTTCAGTACTTAGGTGAGGGGATTATTTACAGGATCATAGGTGTTCCCTGCAGAAGGCTATACCAGGAAGTCTCTACAAAGCGGGAATGATGAGTTTTCTCATAACTGAACAGACACAACCCTTCTCTATCTAGTTCTATGTACCCTAGTCCCTCCTGGAGGCCACAAACAATTAGAGTAGAATTGCACATAACGGGTGGTTTGGAGTGGCCTGACACTCAGGTGAGGGTCCCACGGTCCTTCTTGCTCCTTCTTTTCTAAGGTAATGCCACTGGTTGACTAGTCTAGCTGGGATGATCACATCTGGGTACAGCGGAACTTCCTAAGATGGTAGTTGTTTGGCTCAGAGGATAATCTTGTACAACTGAAGTGGATGCTGAGAACACCTCTGTCTCTCCATCTTCTGACCAGTAAGTATCATTTGTCAAGGCAAATGTGGCATCTCAGGTGACCCTGAAGGTTTCTTATGATTATACAGAGTAGAATGGGCAGGAAGGAAGTCAGAAGAACTAGGGCTGCCTAAGGGATCAGCAGCCCACTTTCTAGGACTCTGCTGTTCCTCTGAAAAGCCAGTATAGGATTCAGTGGAAGATAAAGGTACTCAAACCAGTTTCTCTGGTGAACTGTGTTGGCTGCTTTCCAAGGAAAGTAAGCTGATAACAGAAGCCAGAATAGCAGGGGCAAAGGAGGCCTCCAACTAGAATCAAGGTGGAGGCCCCATTTCTTGCTCAAGGCATAATTTAAATCATCATAGCTTTGGTGAGGGGTGTCATCTGAGATGTAGTAGAACTGCCCTTGGATGATTGGTGACTTCTTGGGGTCTTGTAGGCCCCTGGCAGCCAGAATGTGTGCCCAGGCCACATTACTCACATACACTGGGTTAGCTGTGGAAAATTTTCCAGTAATATCCAAAATACCATTATTTTTGAGGGCCCTGATCATTGTGTTAGAAATGAATGGACTTTTCTCCCCCTAGATGTATATAGGCCTTAAGGCACAAGTGTGGAAAGTGTCACCATTTTTCAGGGTGGACCCATTGGCTGCCAGCACTGGCACCTCAGCCATCTTTTTGCTGTATGGGTATGAATGAGACTTTTTTGTTTCATGTTGCTCTTCCTCATTGCCATTTAGGACGATGTCCTTGTAGGAGTTGGGCCCCACAACTTCAGTTGTGCTGGTGTAGATGAAGGCTGGCACACAAGCCTGGACATAGGCCTCCAACAGGTTCTGGGTACCTAGTCACAGACAGCACACTGTCAGTGTCAGGAAATAAACCAAGGGGTCTACATGATTCTTGTTCATTTCTAGCCTAATCCCAGCTCCCTGGTGCATTCTTTGCTGTTCCCTAATCAGCAGGAGGACCAGCACCTGGGCACATGAGCAATAAAAAAGGAAACGGGTGACATCTTCTGTCTGGGAGCCAAGGTTTTTAGCCTTCCAGCCTTTACAGACACCCCTCTCACTGTGTCTCTGTCCCTATATCTCTCTGTCTCTCTCACTGTGTGTGTGTGTGTGTGTAAAATCCTGACAAAGGATTTTGATTCTGGAAAAGAACAAAATATTTCTATTCTATGCTTTGTCAACACAGTTTTAAAAATGACAATTTGGGTGGTGGCACATGCCTCTAATCCAAGCAGTCAGAAGGTAGAGACAGGTGGATCTCTATCAATGGCCTTGTCCCTCATTACCAGAGTGGACTGGAGGGGACATTTGTCTCTTTTCTAACAGAACTGCTGTAGATACATTGTTCTTTCCCTCATCAGGTCTGTCTACACAGATACAGGCAAAAAGTAACATGTCAAGAGCATCACATGGACTGAGAATGCCCAGGTAGTTTTCAGAAAACACAATCTGTTTACAGAGTGAGTGCAAGTTTTCAATCCCCAGAGACTATCGGGGCAGAAAACATTAGGCTTTGGCTAAAGCTCACACTTGAACACCCCCCGCCCCAAGCCACTGATTTCTGTTTGTCATATCCCCTTTTGGGGAATTACTATCAGATTTGTAGAACACAAACTTCAAAAGACCCAAGTAAGTTTCCTTGCATACACAAGGGAGAGAATGCCAGTGCTGTGTTCAGCCTCTGGTGTGGAATCCTAAACCCACAGTAGGAGAGAGCATCCGTATTGAGTCTGGAGTCTGGTGCCTGTCGAGCTTCAGGCATGGGGAGAAGAGACTTTCATGAGAGAGCCATCTTAAGTGTATATGTTTCTTTCCCAAAAAGTCTTTACAAAATGTGTTCACGTGACTTGGGGCCACTCTGGTAAGCAAAGGGTTCTAAGAAACTAGCACTTTCCTGCTGTGGAATATTCGTTAAAGAAGTGTTACGTGTGTTTATGTTGTGGAACGTTTGTTTAATGATGCAAAGATGTGTTACATTCTTTTATGTAGCATTTGTTTAACTCTGTTACTGTGCCTGTCTAATAATTGGTCTAATAAATAGCTGAGTGGTCTAATAAATAGCTGAATGGCTAATAGTCGAGGGAAAGAATAGACCGGGCTGGCAGGCAGAGAGAATAAATAAGAGAAATCTGAGGGGGAGGGATCAAGGAGTGAGAGAAGAGAGAGGACACCAGGAGCCAGCCACCTAGCTACACGGCCAGCCACGGAGTAAGAAGGAAAGAAAGGTATATAGAATAGAGCAAGAGAAAAGCCCAGAGGCAAGAGGTAGATGGAATAATTTAAGAAAAAACTGGCTAGAAACAGCCAAGCTAAGGCTGGGCTTTAATAAGCAAGAATAAGTCTCTGTGTTATTATTTGGGAGCTGGGTGGGAGCCCCTACTCCCAAAAAAACATAGAATAAAAAAACCACCTGACTACACTCTTCACATTTTTAGAAACTGGAGAAATTAAGTGAGAAGAATGAAGCATTCCTAACAGTTTACTGAGAACTTTCAAATCCCAAACCCAATAGTACAGCTTCCTTCTAAATAAGGTCACACTGGAGCCCTTGTGTAGGGAGACATCATAACCACACCTCCTAAGGGCTGGCTACAGGTGTGTCTGACTACGCCTGCCAAGGCGTGGTCAAGGTGAGGTCAGAGGCATGGGTTCTTAAGCAACCACGAGCACATGGAACACTCTCTTCCCCTTTAGCTGCCCATTCTCTCTGGCCTCCCTGCCTTGCTGCCCCTGGGTACGCTCTGGCTTGCGTTTGGCTGGTATTTATCAGAATAAAGGTATCTTGACTCTACAAGCCTTTTCCTTCACCCTTGCCCATTCTCTTGACCAGTATCCCTTTACAGGTAGTTGGTACCACCATGCATGGAAATGGGGAAATCTCCCCATCATAGCAACTGCTGGGAATCCCAGAGCATCAACCCAAAGCCTCTCTCTGCTCTCTAGGTTTGTCAAACAAAAATTGGTCCCTGGAGTCTGGGATCTGAGGCCCAATTCTCTGTGCTTTAGAAAGAGAATACTAGGAGGCATTAGCTTATAAAGGGGAGTGGGTTTATTTATAGTTCTGTCTAGAGCTAGGGGGGAAAAAGTTCTTAGCCCCTATATACTGTTCTCATACCAGGATTTTTTTAAATTTATTTTTATTTAAATAAGAAAGAAGCCTGCTTCACAAGTCAATCCCAGCTCATTCTCCCATCCCCACCTCTCCTGCCCCCAACAAACCCCCCACCTCATCCCTCCTCTGTTCCCCAGGGAGGGGGAGACCCTCCATGAGGGATCTTCAAAGTCTGTCATGTCATGTGGGGCAGGGCCTAGCCCTCCCCCATGTGTCCAGGGTGAGAGAGCATCCCTCCATGTGGAATAGGCTCCCAAAGTCCTTTCATACGCTAGAGATAAATACTGATCTACTACCAGAGACCCCATAGATTGCCAGGCCTCCTCATTGACATCCACATTCAGGGGTCTGCATCAGACCCATGCTGGCCTCCCAGCCATCAGTCTGGGGGTCCATGAGCTCCTCCCTTGTTCAGGCCAGCTGTTTCTGTGGGTTTCACCAATCTGGTCTTGACCCCTTTGGAGGAGTGATGAGCAAAGGGGTCATAGCAGCATTTTTATAGGAAAGCTGGAACAAAACCCACCAGATTTAGCTGTGAGAAAAACTGCAATTTCGAGAATGTTCATTAGAAGGCACCTCCTCCTGGCCCTAGCTGGGAATCTCTTGGAGATACTGTAACTTCAAGCATTGCTTCTGTCAGGTCCCTATTACATAAAATATGGCAATGTGGCCATTAGTACACCCCCCCCAAAGGACAAAGTGTTGGGATTAGTCTCCTAACCCTATTTTGGCCCTGATTTTCTTCAGTCCACTGTAGGGATATATTCAGCTCTGTACCTGTGGCGCTGACCATGCCTTTTGGGTGTGGTCACAGGTGCAGACTTGACTGCTTAAAAGGAAAAGTATCCAGGTCAGAAGCCCATTTAGAAGCTCTCGTGGAGAGCATGGGGAGCAGGGTCTGTCTCCTTGGAGCAGTTACTTATTGTTTTTCCAGGAAAGTTATTTACTAATAAACTCCACCTCAATTATACTGGTTCTGGTGAATCCTAATTTGACGCCTTCAGTCCACCTCAGATCCACAATCCCTTTCTGATCTTTGCATGGCCTTGTCTGGACTTGGGGTGGGGGGAATAGAATAGAAAAATACATTCTGCAGATGAGGTATTAACAAATATTTATTGTTCCCTTGATTGCATTTCATAAAGTAATGGGTATTTTCCAAAGATGAGAAATGCCTTTCATGAGGAGATGAAGCTATTGGAGAGAGCTCTAAGGTACAAGAGGTGCTGAGTAGTTTGGAACTAGGAGCTGAGGCACAGCCACAAGTGTGTCACTGGGCAGGTGTTGAGGGAAGAAAGCCTGTGGCTGGACCAGGGATTGGCAAAGCTGCTGGTGTCTTGAGGAAGACACTAAGTTGGTCTCTGTGTCAAAGGGAGGCAGTAGGACCTGGGTTGTGCCTATGTCCCTTCTAGAGAACCTGACAACTATTTCCTGACAGCACCCAGGGCCATGCCCCTGCCATTGTCACTGTGATGGTTACATCACTGAGTCTTTATGTTCAGTGTCCCCTTGTGCTGCTCCACTAGTGACCCAATCCACTCTGAAGTTTTTTCCCTGGCTTCCTCCCAGCTGACAGGGGGTTCATAGCCCAGATCTCGCTGAGCTTTCTTGTAGGAGAAAGTGAACACGCTATTTGAGAGTGTGACCAAATGGCGGTCAGGGGGTTCATAGCCCAGATCTCGCTGAGCTTTCTTGTAGGAGAAAGTGTACACGCTATTTGAGAGTGCCACCAAATGGCGGGTAAAGGGAGGCTGGTAATTGTAGATTGGACGCAGCAGGAAGCTCACAGTTTCCAGCAGGAAGGCAAGCCAGTACAGCAGGGGCAGAGGAGGCCTCCAACTGGAATTAGGGCGGAAATCAAGGTGGAAGCCCCATTTCTTGCTCAAGGCATAATTTAAATCATCATAGCTTTGGTGAGGGGTGTCATCTGAGATGTAGTAGAACTGCCCTTGGATGATTGGTGACTTCTTGGGGTCTTGTAGGCCCCTGGCAGCCAGAATGTGTGCCCAGGCCACATTACTCACATACACTGGGTTAACTGTGGAAAATTTTCCAGTAATACCCAGAATACCATTATTTTGGAGGGCTCCCCTGGCAGCCAGAATGTGTGCCCAGGCCACATTACTCACATACACTGGGTTAACTGTGGAAAATTTTCCAGTAATATCCAAAATACCATTATTTTGGAGGGCCCTGATCATTGTGTTAGAAGTTTCTCCCCCTAGATGTATATAGGCCTTAAGGCACAAGTGTGGAAAGTGTCACCATTTTTCAGGGTGGACCCATTGGCTGCCAGCACTGCCTTCTCAGCCATCTTTTTGCTGTATGGGTATGAATGAGACCATGTAGTTTCATGTTGCTCTTCCTCATTGCCATTTAGGACGATGTCCTTGTAGGAGTTGGGCCCCGCAACTTCAATTGTGCTGGTGTAGATGAAGGCTGGCACACAAGCCTGGACACAGGCCTCCAACAGGTTCTGGGTACCTAGTCACAGACAGCACACTGTCAGTGTCAGGA